TTTGTGAGTACTTGCAATGGATAAATTTTTTTATTCCAAATTGCATAATCTTTATTTTATACAAACACATATGATAAGCTCCACTGAAGGTTAAAGCTATATTAAACCGTGCCTTTGGAAGTCTTATTGATGTTTATCACTTGATATTGTTGTCTGCTGTATAATGCCTTTGAGGCATTGGCATCGATCATGCAGATCTCATGCTCTATTAGTTTCTCAAGAAGCTTGCATTCTCATCAAAGCGTTCAGTTTAAAGTAGAAGATGCAAAAAGATTGGACGATTTTCGTATGAATATGAGCACTTATAATTGATCGGAATTGATCACATTTGTAGAACAAAGCCCTCACAAACTTGACAAATTCTTTGATGAGTTATTTGACTCCAAGCTGAGATTTCAGCAATGTGTTGAGCCAAATCTACTTTGCAAACTGCAGACCTTGCAAAATCATCTATGGTTGAGCAAGTTTTTCATCATCCACTCAAGCGCCAAGAACACTTTCGATGTTGTCGACGCAATTACCCTCACTGTGAGTCATGAAATAGAATTAAATCAGAGATTTGTATGCCTCAGTAGGCTTCGGTAGAATCTAGATAAATTACAGGTTCTAAGCATTTATGACATATTATCAAACAGTCTTCAGGTTGTTCACAACAATCAGATACAAAGTGACAAGTTGATGCATCAATTTTTGAACAAAGCGTTCATTTTCTCGTATAGGAAATGAACCACTATGACAACAGATATGATAGCTGCACCTGCTGCAATGACAGCAGAAATCCAGGCAGTCTTTGAATATGACCAATGAATGCCGTCTTTATTCATTTGCTTCTTGCCTCCCTGCGCATATATCATCCAAGTACGTTGAATATCACAGAGATGTGTTCGTGTGATCACATAGATCAACACGAAGCTTGAGATTTTAAATTGATCAACTAAGAAACGTGTAAACCAGCAGAAATTCGACAAGATTCTAAGGCAGCAGATGACAGCTTGCTAGAGGAATGATCACTGAAACATCAGTGACTCAGTTTCTTGTGAAATTTAGGTAGTGACCTTCGTGAAGATGAAGTACGTATACTGTGAAGAAGACGACGGGTGGTAAAGTCCAGAATGCAACTTCATGAGCATTTTTGAGTCGCAAAACTAGTGTTCAGAGAGCCAAGAAAAGCAGTCTTGAACCTGTAGCCGCCAAAATTGGCAACACGACCCAAGATGTGGCAATCGAGACCACCCCTTTGTACGAGAAAGCATCAATGGATTCATCTCTTTGTGGATTCATCTCTTTGTGGATTCATCTCTTTTTTGTGTAATACTCCCGCCATTATGAAGCACGGTCTTGCAAAAATGTTCTCAAAATATACATATTTCTTTATTTGACTTTTCACTTGGCTTGATAAAGCGCTGCTGCTACATCAATGAAGTAAATGGGTTTCTGAATATTGGGCTGGTTTCAAATATGTAATACAAAATCATATGGTTCTTTTTGACAATTTTATTGAAATGTAGGTGCTTTTCTATGCCTTGGTTGAATATGTAACACACTACGTAGATGACCTACAAAAGCAATCAATCGTGCACACCCAAACCTTAACACTTATGTTTACATTTTTTTTATTTTAGCTCTCTGTTCAACAGCAACAGTTGATGTACTAGATACGGTTTATGTTGCTTTAGGTTGCTCCTTGAGAGACTAGAGGAATTACTTGTCCTTGATTTTGCAGCAAGATTGCTTGAGAAGGATATCTCTCAAAATGCTTACTAGAGGCACAAGCAGAGGAGGATTGTTGAACTTATTGTGGGTTTGAAACTGAGAGAGCATGATGAGAAGGACGAGCACAAATGAATTGGATTGAACCTAGATACTTCATTCTCCATCCAGGCTGGATTTGGACGACAAGGAAGAGCTTCATCCAGCCTACTGTACATCGTAGCTTGTTTGTTTGTGCCCAATAGCACATGCCGCACCAACATATTCTTCACTCAGTCTGTACACAGATTCCAAAATCTCCTTTCATTGTGGCTTTTTGGGATTCAAAGCTTAGTTTTCATGTTCTGTGCCGCAATGATGTTATGGTAGATCTGCGGGTTTTGGAATGATGTATTGAGTTATCTCCTCATGGGAACATAATTCCCTTTCGGCTTTAGATAGAAGCTCTCTTATCAACTATAGATCAGTTGCCTTTCTCGGATAGTTTTTAGTCTTATGGTTATTGATTGCTTTTGCTCTTGCAGCCTCTTTTCATCCGCACATAGATCATCAATGAGGTATGTGTTCAATATAAATAATTGACAATTTTACCAAGACAGCTAAAATATGAAGTTTACTAATAAAGTAAGCCCAGAAGATCATTCACTTTTCTACTCAGGGATGGCACTTATGAGGAGTCGCAGACAAAGCAATTGACAAGTCATTTCCTCCACAACCAAACTCCTTGCTGCTGTCACATTCTATTAAGCATCCCATTATTCATCCTATTAAGCTGCGACTACCAGACTAGTAAAGGTAGATTTACCAGGTAACCCTAATAGATTAACGGTAAGGGTAACTTTTAAACCTTTTAATTCCGTACCAGGTAACCGGGTAATTACCCTGAGGTAGAGGTAAAGGATAAAGGTAGACCATAGTGCTATGTTTAATGTAAAAGGTAGGGTAAAGGTAGAGACCCATGCCTTACCCGGTTACTTTTTACCTTGCTGAGGCTTACTTCTCATTAGAAGATAAAGCTTTAGAAAAAGAAGATGAATTCTAATCTTACATGATAAGGCGTCATCTAAATTCTCAACATGAGCTTCAATATCATTAGTAACTGAAGAGTCAAACTTGAGGTTCATGTGCACTTTGCAATTGACTTCTTGATGAAGATTCTGTTTGACCAATTTGTGTTGGTGCTGGCTCACTAGTAATCAACTCCTCTTAATTCCTGAAAAGATGGAAACTCTTCTTGTGGCTTATCATCAATGGTTACAAGATCAATCTTCACCTTAACGGTGTCAAGGGCAAGAATCTTGCTTTTGTCAGTAACGAGAGTCGGCATTTTCTCCTTCTCATTGAATGATTTTGATTCATTGAATGAAACATACCTATTGATAATGAGTTTGCAAGCATTGATTACAACCTATATCCCTTTCCTTTTCTTTGATAATCAAGCAAAACACATTAAGTATCCCATATTGTAACTAATTAGGATTAGACTAACTATGATTAACAAGACGCGGGTTAATTTAACACACACTATACGGCCGTGTGAAAGCCAAACTTTGGCACCTAAGACAAAAAGCCAGAATAAATCAATACCCTATGTTTAATCACAAAGTCCGTGTGAAAGCCAAACTCTAGCCGCTAAGAAAAAAAGCAAGAAAAAAGCAATACCCTATCTTCAAGTACAAAGACTACGAGATTCAACGAACTAGAACCACACAACATTGGAGAGTCTACCCCAGAAAAGCCACAAAGAATTGGTTCACATACTCAAACTCCAAACAAAAAAACCAACTAAAATATGAGATGAGAGTAAGGAAGTGAGTTGGCATGGGCCGATCCAAAAATCATATAAACAATCATAAAAAATAATGATGAATGATATAAAATTAACAAAGCAATATAAAATAGGAATAATATCATGTTTAAATAACGTTATTGATTTTCAATTTGTATATTTAAATTATATTTAAAATGATGTGTATTATAGATTTATGATTATAAATTTTATTACATGATATTGAAATGAATATAACATAAAATGGAATTTTAAATCAATTTTAGAAAAAAATTGATTAACTACTTACATTATTGATAATAAAATTTATACTAGTATGTATCATACATTAAATTACAAACAAATCTGATGATTACTATCATATGCATTTAAGATCAAGATTAACGAAACAAAACTTGAAATATATAAAAAAAGTGATATTATTCATCAAAGTTCATATAAATTCAATCTGTTGTAATACTTCAACCTCAATATTTCACACATGAATTTAATTTAGCAATCTATCATAAATTATCAAAATAGATTTACTGAATAATTATACTTTTCAAAAAATAATTAAATGTATGTTTTATATAAATTTTACCTTTGTAGCTTTAAGACGTTCTTTAAAAGTATATTCCAATGTTCAAATTTTATTTATCGTATCAAATTAATGAATTTTTTCATATATTTAATGTTTAATATCATCAAAGTCTTGAATGTTCTGTTTTAGAAAATGTAAATAAAACTGTAATAATTAAATTTATTTTTCTGATAAAAGTTGCAATGAATTTAGCTTTGATTATTTCAAATTATTTCGTAAAGATTTATCGAAATGAAATTTTAATATTTTGATAAAATATATTAAAAAAATTGATCAAGTAAAAAACATGATTAAGTGAAATTCATACAATAATAAGCTTAGATTGAAATAAATGTAAAATGATCACAAATGACTTGAATATTGACGTTTTTATACTTAAGTAATAAATCGCATGAATTGTTTGAAATTATATATATATATATATATATTATAATTAATATAAATGTAGAAAACATAAGTTGGCTAGCTTTCCCCATCGCTAATAAAATCACCTTACACACACAATTGCCATATCATCCTAGGAGCCAACTCCTATAGTCAATGGATGGAAACTGGTTTCAAAATCCGTAAGTAATATTGATTTCACACTTGTTTTATAGAAGACAAATAAAATTTCACATCTAAATCACAACATCAGAAAAATATTGTATATATATATATATATATAAGTTGAAACCACCTCATAAAATTATATTTACTTCAACCCCAACTCCAAATTTGTACGGGAGTTTATAAATCAATCCAACTCTCGCGGATCCACTAAACATCAAAGTAGAGTAATCAAGTCCAATCAACCTTATCACATATCCTGCTAATATATATATATATATATATCCTACCTATTTGGACTGTTCACATTTTGGGACGATGAAAATGTGTCTGGAATATTTCACAGCCTCGCATCCGTAATACGTATGCATGAAGACTATTTCTCGTCAGTGCATTTGGATTGCTTACAATGTTCGTGTCATTTTGTCGGTATCTGAAATTGTCGCTGAGCTGAGAGAACCCGGACAATCCGGCAGGTCTGGAAACGGGCGGAATCGAGACCCTGTACCCTCCACGGAGTGCGATCGCCGGGCCTCACCTTACGACCCCGCTGTCCACCAGTGGAATTACCGTTCCAATCGGCAGGAGGCATATGGACTTCCGTGCTCGCGGAGGCCCTTTCATGAGAAGATGAACAGAAGCGGCCCTTGTGTGAGGAGGATGTGACTCCCATTTGATTACTTAGTCTCTTCTCGATATGAGCATGAGCATATGCAAATTCTGGACACGGTTTATACTCTTCTTTGGTATTACGTCACTGGTTAGTGGAAATGAACATTACAGAGTCGAGGAAATTCTCTTTGTTGTTAGGGTTTTGTGTGTACACACAGACGAGTGTTCTCGCCATTTTCTCGTTGTGTTGCTTAGCATTGTTGAGAGAAGTTACGATGCCATTTGGTTCTTGTTTTTTCCGTTGGATTTTCGAATTGCCCGCTGTCTTACAGTTGAGATCCTTTCTGCACGCTAGCGTCATGTACGAGGAGGTAGGTTGTTTCCATATATTTGTACGATGAGTTGTTGTTCAGCTGGGGCTCCATGGCTAGTGGAGTTTGTAGTTCAGCAATGGTCAGATCTCTGAATTTCCTTGTTCTTGAGACCGTGAACCTGTCGGGTGTGCCGTAGACTTTAGATATGAGTTATTCATTCCAGCTGATACCTCGTGCTCTCATCGTCCATGGGAGCACTTGCTGCCATCAGTTTCTTGGAGGTTTTTCGTTCAGTGTATTGTGGAATTGTAGTCGGATTCCAAGCGATAAGTCCTCTGGAAAGATTTACGAAGCCGAGTAACTGGGATTCATGGTTGCTGCTGGTCAGCTCACGCAATTTTATAGAAGAGCCTTAGGGTTATATCCCGTAACCATTGTCTTTGGCCTTTACTTCTTTGAGGCCCACCTTGTATTACGGCCTGTCTTTCCTTTGTTCGCTGTAGATCGCTGTAGATAGTAGTATTGGTGATTATCCCAAGCTAGCAGACTGTCTTGAGTTACTGGACGGTTTGTTCCGACGTTCTGGGATTTCATCTCGACTATTTAAGTTTTATCAGTCTGCATAAGACTTTACAAGTATTGTCTTCCAATCATTTTACAGTAGGAAGTAAGTTGATCAGTCGTGCCCTTGGCTTATTACTTCTTAATCGGAACAAAGTCTTCCTTCCTATTGCAAACCGCGGAGCAGAATTCTCTGGAAGTAAGCGATTTTCATCTTTGAAAGGCTGATTATGATACTTGTGTTAAACTTAGTCTGCTTCTTCTTGACAGAATTGCAGAGGTGTATGCACCACATTGCTAATTCCTGGGTAGTAATTTTGTGTGGCCATACACTAAAACAGTTCTCGTGCAGTCTATAAATATCTGAACGGTCTGGCATTAAATAATTGTTCATGTTTTGTTGATAATCAGCTCATTAAATTTACCCTAGTATCATTTATTTAAACTCAATTTGTGTCATCGCTTCATTTTCGGGAGAGTTTTAAGCATGCAGCTGAGATCAGCACGAGGGTGAGACAAGCCGAAGAATAATAAGTGTTCAAATCCAGCCGCCCGAAGGTAAATAGAGAGGAGTAGGTTCTGGAAATGCTTGGTTAGAGTAACACCAGAAGGATGAATAAATTGTTGGATAAGGTGTACTGGGAACTTAAGATGTGAGCGTGTAAACCCAGATCTGATTGTCTGAACTTCTTTTTTTGTACATAAAGTTTACACAGATAAACATGTGCCATTTAACTACCTGGCTGATGCTTTTACTATATCGACAAGTGATGCTTGATGGGAGATGCAGTTGCACATGAAACTGAAAGATAGTGTTAGGTGTGTGTTATGCTAACGGTCTTTTCTTTTCGTAGGAAATGTCGAATAGTTTTCTTTGATCAACATTTGGACTTATTCAGTCTATTACATTATGTTACGGTCTGCAGATGTAATGGGTCCGCATGAATTTGTCTGGTTGAACGGACCACTTGTGCGGAACAATAGGTAGTTTATAGGTGTATGAAAGATGTATTCACACGCTTCAGTGGCACGGCTTTTTTGGACTTTTGATAAGCATCACATATGGTTTAGAATGCATCGTCTCGGTAAACGTCATGGGAAATCAGGGTTGGAAACACAGATGGAATGTGTATTTTGTAAGTATCAAATTGAAAACTTGTTCGAAACGATTGTCTCATCAGTCTCATCTCTCTCATTGCTGAAAGGTTTTATGGTCGCTCGATCTATGTTTGTTGAGGAAGTAATTCATACCTGTTCTCATTTGTACGTATTCTAGAGAGTTCGGTGTCTTATAGACTTCTTACAGACTTTATAGTCTTCTTATAGCTGTGCCGTCAACTAGCTCTAGCAGGGAGCTTCTGCCATCTTACAACTAGGAGCTACTAGTCCTGATACATAATGGACACATCATTGAGTGCTTGATTCTTTTACGTCGTTATCGTCATGTCCTCTTTTTATTTTTACGGCTAATTGTATGTGATCAACTGCAAGGGCTGAACACGCAAGTGGACCGAAGCACGTACCTTGGAGGAACAACCTTAGGTGCTCTGGTCTAAGGCATTACTTGATACTTAGGAACATGATGAGAAAAATTGCCGTTAAAATAGCATAGCACCCTGCCGAATTTTTCGTCGGATTTAGGGGTAAACCACTGATTGAAGATACAGAATGGAAGCATAGGAGTGAGTCGGGAAAATGGAAAAGGGATAAAGGAAAAAGGCAAGCACAATTTATAGGAGGAACTGCCCGGATAAGAGACAGAAATTGAAGTATTGTTAGAAAGCAAAGAAGTGCCTGAGCGCCTTGACAGAACCAATTGCTTTTGGTTCCTCGAATCAGATGCTAGAAAGGAAATCAGGTGCCATGAACATCACATGTCCAACGGGAATCACTCCATCGTGACATGATTCCGCCTTCTTAGTCAGTGGGTACCGCGTCGAAGAGGTCTCTGCACTGTACTGCGGGTAGTTTGAGAACAACAAAAAATGCAACAGATCATGGAGATTTTCCATTAACGATGTACAGACCCTATTGTAGATATTCTACAGCACCGGGTTAACTTGAAATGGTCAGAGAGTTCATATCACGGTGCCGACTTACCTGGGTAGAAGAGGCATTACTCCTCGTCACTAGCCACACAAACCTTAGGAGCGGCCATGTCAAATTCGCTACAAAAGATAGGTGGCTCTGCCAGCATCTACGTCGAAAGCAATTTGTACTTCAATACATATTGGTCGATTCTTTTTCTACTAAGTGAAATAGATCAGACGAGTTGAAAGAGTTCAGCTTTACGTATATGGTGTGCAACGTATGCGTTTCGTCTTTTTTTGACAAAGCTGTTGGAGCCCTTGTGTTTGTGTTTCACCGGTTTCTGCCAGTCGGCCTTCTACGGATAAGCCCTAGTGGTGGATCACGTAGAATCTGTTGTGCATCGGGAGGACGGAGCTTCTGTTTATAAACTGTCACGCACTACCTCTCTCAGAAAGAGAGCTGCCTCCACGAGAACGTCTCTCAGTACGTAGCTCTGCAAAATGGTTCCTGGGGTTGTAAAACTTGAAATTGTGAATGACGGGGTCTGGGATCTTCAAGCTATGACTTTCTAATATTAATGACCATAGTCCCTTAAACTTCTGCCGTCTTCCTCTTCGAATTTTAAGGTATGCAGGTTAGCTACACTTTTGTACTTTGCTTGCTTTCCATACCACGGTCAGGGTGGACATCGTACTTTCCAGGGTCTATGCAATGTAGATCAAGCTTGAATACATCAGAAATTGCCATTTAGAAAGTGCTGTGGATTGTGTAATCATGGGGAATGTTCTCCGATGTATGGTTCGCTTGACTTATGAAAAAGCCCGGGAATAAACTCGTATCACTGGATTTGAACGTACTACTCTGAGTAATGGATGAGTACATGATTAAACGCCTTGGGTTGACATAGAATGAGACCAAAACTTTTCAGACCACGGTGTTACATCCATCTAAAGGGTGCCACATAATTGATATCGAACCGAAAAGAAGAATGAAGGCCAAGACCAGAAAGCAGGAACAACCATGGCAATTAAAAAGAAGAATATGAATGCAAACCTCCAGAGATGATTCAAAGTATAGGAGGAAGGTGAGTACGATAGCAAATCAACCAAATTCAGCTGTCTATAGCAGCTGTCTATACCTGATTTTCCAGGACAGCGACCTCGTTCGTTAGATGAGCTTTTGTTCTGCAATCTTACTGTGATGCAATCACATGGAAAACTTCTCAGTGATGGAAGTATAGCTGTAAAATAACCTGCAAAGATATCTCCACTGGCAAGTGTATTTCCGGAGCAAATGTTCACTGGAAGAGGAAGTGATGTGGCACTTTTACATCTGCTGGGCAGCTTTTGCATCAGCTGAGGCGTTTAATGAAGGTCGTATGCAGATAGCAGTTTATAGTGATGTAACTATTTGTTGTGAGGAGGTAGGCCCACTTGTAACGTAATTCGCAGATCTTATTATATCCTCCCTGCAAACTCTGATGCCCAATCACACACCGCTATTACTGTTTCCAAATTTGTCTTGACCATCGAATCCACTCTAGTCCAGCCTCAGTCCTCGATCCTTCTTGGTTTTGTGAGGAGAGTGGCCATGATCGTTAATACTTGCTCACTTTAAATGTACTGTATTTTAAATAGCTGTCTATTAATTAAGTGACAGTGTTGACAGGAAGAAAACAGTTGTTATCGTTTCTTGTTTGAATCACAACTCTTTGATTAGATGCCGTAAAGTATGCAAGACATGATTTTCTTATTGCTCTGCTTTCCATGCAATAAATTTGAAAGTCGGGAATCTACGTGCATTCGATGTGTCTGGTTATCTTACATTCCGGAACGTATATTCTGACTCCCCGTACTTGTGCATGATCATAAGCCTTGTTTCTTCTGTCTTTTTATCTCTTCTTGCTTCTCATCAATTGTGCAGTGTCTCCCTTGTTATTAGCACTCGTGTTTTTTGCGATCATCTGGACTGCCCCTAAGCTTTCTGCCACTCTGCTCTTTTAGTTAGTTAGTTATCAATCTACTGAGTAGTGTGATTTCCTGTTGGTTCCCTCAGTACTCAATTGAATAGAGATTCAATCGCACCACTTACTATCATCACGGCTTTTTGGGTCTTCCTCCTTCGTGTGGCCTCAGGTTGGTGCCGCATATAGCTTCATCTGCCCGGCAAGTAGAGGCTAATATTGTGTGATATTGAGTTAGGTCGTTTGACGTGATTCCACATTTGTCAGAACTGCGAAGCTAGACGTGAAATTTCGTCTCCTTTGAAACTATGGAAGTACACCTTGACTCGAAGCTAATACTCATGCCTCATTCCGGTCTGCACGGGAGCCCACTGTTGGACACATGATTGTAGTCTGCGAGTGGTGTGATCTACAGAGATCACGCTGTATTGGTGGACGGAACGTCTTCATGAGTTGTAATATCTCTCTTTTTTCAGTAAACCTGCTCGCGGGGTGTCCTGAATGTCGATCTAGGATGCCATGACTTGATAAACGTTACATTTCTTTGTTACGGATTCAGCCCTCTTGTTGTCGCCTTTGTTCCTAAATTGGATGTCCATGTTGGAGTGGAACGTTACACTGTGATTTGTTGATGTGCATTTGTACTAGTGTTTATGCCGGATTGTAAAGTTTAATAGAATTCAATGATTTTCATTTGCACCAGTTACATATGCGTTTGCAGTGACGAAAGAATCGATGACTTATTTTAGTGATGTTCTGCGTTAGACAAAGGTCATGATCTCTGTATCGTGGTTGTAACTTCTTTTCTTTTCGCAGTTAACCAACGTTAATCTACACTTTCGCGCAATGAACTCTCACATAACGTCTATGCGTTTCCTACAGTTGTTGGTTACTTGTCTGAAACTTATGTTTTGATGTAACCTAAAGTCAATTTTTCAAGGAATGATACCTTCCTGCTCGCGTCTCTCTGTTATGATCACCGTTTTGACACATTCTTGTTTGTCAGTGAACCACATCATACAGAGTTATCTCTAGACGTCAATTACCTTCAAAGTGTTTCTCTCTCTTTCTCATTGTATCTTCGAAGTTTTGCTGTTTAGTCTACGCTGTGCAGGTTCTTGTCATCAATTATCGTCGTACCCCGGGATCTCATATTCTCTTATGGAGTGTCTTGTCGCTTGGCAATATCAGTAGTGTTAGAGACTATCAGTCCTTACGTTTTTCTTTTCTTTTCTTTCAAATCAAATATATGGGCTGCTGAGCGTTTCATTTTCAGCCAAATGTTTTCAACTAATTTCTTTTTAGATGGATCTGTTCTAATCATTGCAATTTTGTGCTCACAGTTTGAATTTTACTGTCAATAATCTAGCTCTTGTGCTTAGATGGATCCGTCTATAACTGTGCACCCTGGTCATAAGCCCCCTTGTGATAGTAATCATCTCAATTCCGAATTCCGCTTTCTGCGGGGATAACACTAGAGACATGTTGCCATCTCTTCCTTAGTCTTTTTGCCCTCATTTTAAATAACAATGACAATGTTGTCATTTCTGACTGTCCTCATTTTAGGGCACTACATATGACGCCGATGGGACTGCATGGAAATCTGCGGCAATTTGGTTCGGAGAGAGTTTCTATTTGAGATTGAAAGTCAAAAGATTCTAGTGTCATTGAGGTTGAAAAGTAAAAGCACAGGAGGGATCAGCATTATCTGTAACTTGCTTTGAATGTCGAGTTTTACATGGATGGGGAGTTTATTTGGCCAGGAGACCTGAAAATATTGTTACTCTCATGCAGCTCTCAGATAGGGTGTGGGATCAATCGTACACTGGCGAGGACAGCTTGTCGGTCTCACACGTGCTGCAGTTAGTCTCAGATCGCAGTCATTTGAGGAAGCCTACAACGTGACGCATCTCATGCCTTCGTTCAGTATCTCTGTTGTTGCTTAAGAGTCTGTTCTCCAGATTTTGACTTGACAGTCTACTTCATCTAATAGCAAGCCGGGTGACTGCGCTATCCTCCTTGAAGTTGTCAAGTGCAATCCTACGTGTTTTTCTTCAAAGATTATCAAGGGGTTAGTGCGGTTTAACAGAGTTTTAGCAGAGTTTTAGTTTTTAACAGAGTTTTACCCTTACTCTTGAAGTCGTTACAAACAATTTTCCGAATGCTTTCTTCTCATAGTATATATAATAGTAGAACTATTTTTTAATAGTATAACTTAAGGCAGTCAAGGTGTCATTAGATTTATATATTTACGGTCCTTTGAGAGTAATTTTTCTGAAAATTAAGGCTCCCGACTGTTTATTATGAGCAAATTGTAGATCCCATGCCCTTATATAGGATTCAGTAAGTGCAACACCTGGATAAGTGCGACAAGTTAGGATGCTCTCAAGATGTTGCACTTAGAGAGAGTCGACTGTAGTTATTTGACAGCCATTTAGCGGCCACACTCGCTCGCATAATTTGTATATATCTAGAATGCAAGGCGAATATGTGGTTCTTTCGGCACCTTGTCGCTATATTTAAAATCCCAGGCACCTTGGTTACACTTCTGGCTAAAATACTCGTATGCTTTTACTAAAAGAGGTCCATGGATTTCAAAGTTACATGGAGTATCCATCATTCAGTTTAATCTGTTCATCATCTACTACAGTCTGTATGTGTCCAGGTGACTGCGCTATCCTCCTTGAAGTTGTCAAGTGCAATCCTACGTGTTTTTCTTCAAAGATTATCAAGGGGTTAGTGCGGTTTAACAGAGTTTTAGCAGAGTTTTAGTTTTTAACAGAGTTTTACCCTTACTCTTGAAGTCGTTACAAACAAGTTAGGATACTCTCAAGATGTTGCACTTAGAGAGAGTCGACTGTAGTTATTTGACAGCCATTTAGCGGCCACACTCGCTCGCATAGTTTGTATATATCTAGAATGCAAGGCGAATATGTGGTTCTTTCGGCACCTTGTCGCTATATTTAAAATCCCAGGCACCTTGGTTACACTTCTGGCTAAAATACTCGTATGCTTTTACTAAAAGAGGTCCATGGATTTCAAAGTTACATGGAGTATCCATCATTCAGTTTAATCTGTTCATCATCTACTACAGTCTGTATGTGTCCACTCCTATCCAATATCTATGATTCTGGGTTCACTCAGCCCTTGCATGTGAGTCATGTCTTTTGCAGGTAGTGATATAATGGATCACCGCCCAACATATCTATTCATATTTGAAGTTCTGTAAGTGCTTTGTCATAGAGATTTACATGTTTTGACTTATATATGGTAAATCTAGTATTCAATGCTTTACCTGGTCCACACACTGACGATGGCTACCTTACACTTCATTCTTTAAATGTTTTGCTACATTACATCGGAAGAAAGAGGTTCTTGGATTTGGAACATACTTCCGCAGTTGCTGAAGTGATGGTATCAGTTCTCGGTAAAGTGTACAGACAAATCAGTTTCTTGCTGGTAAACTGTCATAGCTTTCTAATTTCTAATTTTGAAACTCTTGATAGTTGCAGATGTCTCAAGGACTGAGGCTTTGCAATTGTTTGCCCCAATTGGTCCTTATTGAAGTCGCTGGAAATTGTTTGTAGAGGTTTGAACAATGTGTGGTCTAGTCTGCTCTCTTCTAACTTTTACTTGATTGGACTTCATAGATGCTTTATTCTGTATACTATCTTCAAGGTCTCTCTTACACAATCAGAAAGTTTGTGGATAAATACAAATATTAGAGATTTTGGAAAATCTCACAATCATATTCATTGGCAGCTTTACACTGGTCATGATCAAGATTTATACTATTGTTCTGCAGTTGGATAATCAACGAATCTTGAACGTTCGGTCTCACAAATATTCAGCCTATGGGGAAGTTGGTGAAGAGTATTTCGTTGCGTTGGATGATCGTTGCACAATTCTGTTCGTTCTACTTTGATTTGCGAGTAAGGTCCACAGTTACTATTGTATGTAAAGTTTTGTTCCGCAAACTTTTTTATATGAATTTTAACTATTTCCTGGAAGCGTGATAAAAGGTCCTCTACTTTGCCCACTGGTAGTTACTATCGTATGTAAAGGTTTGTTCTCCAAACTTCGTTATCATGTATCTAAACTATCTCCTTGAAACATGATAAAAGTTAGTGTAGTTTGCCCACTGGTAGTGGGTATGTGCCTGGACTATTTACCTGAAGGGAGGTGAGGTGCTGTTTTTGTGAGATTTATTGGACAATAAGAGTAATATTGGCGTTATTCCAGCCTATGGACGCATGGGAATGTGGATCGCTCTTGAAGCTATAAGCGCAGACCATGATACACACCTTCTCTGAGAGGAGGAAAATAATCGTGGAGAAACGAATGAAACAAGCTTTCATGTCCTAGAATACTACAGGAGTCAAGACGTTTCTGTTTGGAAATCAGTGCGGATGTCGGAAACCAAATAGCACTAAGCTTGGGTTGCCGACCCTCAAGGTTTTGTCCATGCGGAAAACAAATGTCCATATGTATACAGTACTTAGTGCATCATTCATGTACTTCTTTGAGAAGGTAAGAATATTTCAGGATCACGTCTTTTCGATTGGTGACTGAACTGTTTGGATTTTGACGTTTCTTCACGAGGTAACAAACCATGGATTTAGAGATACCTATTGAATTCCGTGTTTTAATAGTAACGTTCATGATATTTTTTCTCTCATTGTCTTGTTTGTTAATGAAAGCTGGGAGTTATGGTATGGATATATCTGCTCGTTAGAAACTTATTTTCAAGAATCTCCGAATGAAATTAAGTGACTTCAATTGTATCGTTGATCTGCTTACTTCGGGCAAGGATATTGTGAGAATTCTTAACACTGACGAGTTTTACTCTGCATTCTCAGCATGTATAGAATTGACTTGAAGCGCTAGAGTTATTGAAAAACCCTTTCGATGGGGAACCGAAAAGTGGGGGCTAGGTTTAGGGCCTTGTTCCGTATAGACGAATGCTAAATTTGTAGACGTTCTAAAAGAGAGTGAAATGTTCCACCCACGTACAATCTTAAAGTATACAGTACTGTGTGTGACGAGGCAAGAGTACAGGAAAAGAAAACAATACGATGTCGGCATCTAGCGATCTAAGGTAGGGGCTGGCATGCCCGTGTAGGTTGGACTTCCCTCAACCTCCTCACTGAAAGGCGAATTGCACTGCAAGCGAAAGTATCCATTGAGATGCTGCAAAGGCAATCACAAGTGTATATTATAATCAAGTCTGGCATAGTGGTAACAAGTCATTCACTTTGTAGATGCGACGAAGAAAGAAGTTGGTGTCAACGTTTGCTCGTATTTCATCAGCAATAATCCCTTCACTATTTTAACTTGTACTTGGATAGATTGTTTCTCAAGATGTGATATGAGGTGATGTGACTTGTGAACTGATAATATAAAGCGCATCTATCGAAGGCTTTCCCTTCCTGAATAAGACAAATGTTATGTCCTCACTTATGTATCATGTTTTTCATCGTTTTCAACCACTTTCCCCATTTGGGTTGCAAAGCAACTAAAATGCAGTTGAATGTCCATGACCTAATCGGAGTAACATATGCATGCCATGATTAACAGTGGCGAGTCACTATAATAGAATTTGACTTCTGAGGGCCTGTGCCATCGTCTTCCCGTTTCCAGTTCGTATGGGTTCATCATTTTTTCATTTTAAGTTACCTTTTTTGATTGTCGTTTAGCCATGTTTCACCATTTTTGAATACCTCAAATATAATTGGGTTAATATATAAAGTTTTTTATTCGAAATAAACATGAGGAGGATGTAAATAAAATGGTATATATACTACTTAGCGTGGGAAAGTTATCAATAAGGGGATGTAGCTCAGATGGTAGAGCGCTCGCTTAGCATGCGAGAGGCACGGGGATCGATACCCCGCATCTCCACCTCATGAGTGCGAAACGTCTATGCAGAAGGGGAACTTTTCTTCATGCACATCTTTTGCGAACAAGTGGATCATTCGCGCCTCCTCAGGCAAGAGGACAAAGAAACTGTTAGGCAGCCAACTGTACAGAAACTGTCATTGCAGTGTACCATAGAACAAAATCTCAATGTTAAAAAAATTCTAATTTTCTTCTTTTCTTCTCTCTTTGGAGATGAGGACAAGATTTATGTGTTGTGTTCCCAACGAGATTGTACCGGGAGTGGCAATGCATGCCCAGACTTGGAATTACTGATGAGTCTCGGTGGAGCATCATGTGCAGACAGTGCCCACATAGTACAAAAAATAATCAGTTCACATCGTTTAGTACAATTTCAGCACACATGGCGTCACTGACCTCATCATTTTAGAGAAACAATGAAGCTCTTGAGTTTTCATATTCTATGCGGCCAGACCCCACAGAGGTACAATTCTGGTTTCTTGCTTCACCTACTATATGGAATTTTGTTTTATGCTCGATGAAGTATCAACATATGGGCTCGTGAAAACTCCAGGTACAGGACTTTTCGCGCCACCCCCACACCCCCACCTCCTTGTGTTTGCAGCTTGGAGTTACTGAGACGTTTGGTCAATAACCTCACTCAGTACATGTCAAGCTTTGTTGTTTTGCACCTCCCCTACGCTGGCTTGCTCGCTTTGGCCGTAGGCACGTCTTTCAGGCTAACGAATACCTTCATCACCAGTTGGGTTCTTAGTCCATTCTCAGTTTCACATCCTCTGATATCTACGTAACCCTCGGAATGTAGCAAGTTGTTGGAGAATGTAGCAAGTTGTTGGTCTGGTTTGGTTCGGTTCCTTCAGTTGCTTGAACGACAGACAGAGAGTTGCAGATTCTTTGGGTTTGGAAGTGAGTATGGGTGGTGTCATGGCTCCAGCAAATGATAATGCGCGATCAGTTCAGCTCGTTTCTCCAATACTGTTCTTTGGAGAAACGTCATAAAGGTCGGAGTCATTAATCGGATCAAACGTTCCTGACTTCCACTGCGCTGCCTGCTGCCAGATTCAGTGAGAAAGTCGGCCGAAGTACACTTCTGTTTCTGGAAATAGTTCGAGCTAATTTCTTTCATGTTCGAAGCTTCCTTTTTCTTTGGCGAGTGTGAGGAAGTGACGGAATGACTCATCACCGTCATCACAACGAATGGCTTCTCTTCCTTGAGGTGTCGAAGGACTAATCACTGTCTTGAACTGCTCTTCTTTCTTGACTGGCCGGCTCATCCTCGTTCTGATCTGCTCTCACTTCTACGTCGTATTGTGAAACCTGCTCCACAACCTTCTTAGCATCCCCTTTTTCATGTGTATGAAATCCAAGAAACTTCCAAAGTAACTTTTGAAAGAATGATATATAGCTAAAAGTATGGGATTCATCGATTGCAAAGAATACAAAGGAATAGATGGGATTAACCCCACTTGCTTCACAATGAGAAATATGTCAAGTAACATGTAACAAATCCAAATTTGATTGAAAATTCCACAAGTTAAGGTCACTAGAATATACATTGTTGTTACATCAAATATCACAACATACAAAGTATCATACAACCAAAAACATGATTACAATAAATTGAAACTTTCGATTCTCTTGATCCTAACTTCTGTGAGACTAAGATCAAGAGGCTGAATGCTCTAATATCTCATCCTCATCTTCCAATTTGCAACCTCTATTTTAAAATAGTCAAACTGGCTTACATGCTAATCATATCAAGGGCATCTCCACCGGCAAAGAGCCAGCCGATATCCATCTATTGAATTAACATGATATGGCCTTAACATGGGGGTTAAGATTAACCGTCTAGGTTTTATTATTTTCATCACTAGTCTTCTCATGAGACAATCAAAGCAGCTTATTTATAGTTCTTATTGAAAGGAGATGTCAAACTTGCCATATGTCAATCTTTCAAGTAAAAATCGCAAAATGACATATCAGCTGCGTTATCAGCTGATTCACAGACAATACATTTCAAGCTTGCCTACATTAGTGCTAAACTTGGAACTATGATATCATCATGTTTAAAAAATGACATGATACATGATTGCATACATAATATATAAAAATTACACAGTTTCAATCCTCTTATATAATTACTTTAACATCATAGAGCTCATATTGTGCAAAATTGACATATCAATGATTAAATCCAATGTGAAGTATGCACTATGATCTAAAGAAAATCACCATGAATTTGGTACATCTGTAATTATCCAAATATTGATTGAATACATACATATATATTTTGTCTAAGATTGAATAATCCTATTACAAACTGCTACAAATATTGTGTTGCAAAATGTCATTAATAAAATACAGCCAAAAGTAATAAGGTGTTAGGAAAACTGAAAATTTGATTCATACAAAAGTGCACTCGAGCTAAGCGCTTGGATGTTTTCATGAAGCTAATCATGATGAAAACATCATGATGATTACATCATGATGTGATTATAAGCTTTTAAAAATCCAAAACATAATTAAAAATCACAAATATTGTTTGTTGATAAAATTGAAGCTTGAAACTGAGCATCCCTTTTTAAATTCAATGAAATTTTTTTATCAAATCAATAAATTGCATTTTAGTGAAATACACTACACATAGACATCTTCATCATTTGCGCAATTTTTTTTGTTTTCAATTCAACCCATACTACAAGATCTGGTCTATCTTGTCTTGCAAACAATGAAAAAATATGATTTATAGCAATAAGATCAAGAACTTGAATGAGTCACAAATTTTTAGATCTAAAATTATATCAAAAAAAGATTGATGAAAAAGAAACATGCTTTATGTGCTTGATTGATTAGCAACAAGCAAAAGATCCATAAGATTTCATTTTTGTGCTATGAACATAGACTATAACTATAAATCTAATTTGCAATTGAATAATTATAAAACATTATTTTTTCATAAGTCATAAAATCTGACACATAGTATAATTATGCCAGACTCCATTCTTAAAACAAGTACACAAGCATTTT